TAGATAATAGAAACGTTGCATTTTCGATCAATGGCACGAGACATCTGCCGGTTGCGCTATGGAATAACCTTCCATCCAAACTTTATTTTGTTGCTTCACTCAAGACTCCAGGAAGATTTAAAATTTTACACCCAGGCGAGTGAGTTATAATCTATCTTATTCTAGTTATAAGATTGAGCATTTTTATGATCATTTGGTCAAACATATGTAATCATGTGTTTACGAATAAATCATATACAGTAGTAGTGGCGGTACCATTGTAGTGTCGGTTTATATTTTTCTTTAATTTATTTGACAAGCTACAGATTTTTTCTGTTATATAATAAATAAATTTAAATTTACGCTTTAATTCTACCGTGCACATTTTCATAAAAGTAAGAAAAGAAGTTATATCTAAGAAAACTAATGAAATAGTAAACCCAAACATAATTATAATAACATCAAATTTACGCTATTAAAATAGTTGGGATATTATTTTGCAAAAATATACGCTTGATTAAACGATATGCGAGAGAAGTATAATTCAAAATACTTTTATAAGGTTAATATTCAAAGATGTTGGGCTCGTCTTAAACCTCAGAAAGAAGCCCATATTGAAAACCAAGTATCGCCGAATTTAAAGAATATCCTAATCGGATTATTTAAACCAAAAAGTTTAAATGTTGTAATGGGCTAAATGTCAAGAATGTCATTAAAGGCCTAGGCTCGTATTAACCACATATGCGACTAACATACTGCACCTATAACACTAACACTTACACCCACCACTTAAAAATGAGTAGCGTGTAGTAAAGATTTAGAAAGTCTTTATTTACTATAGTTGTTTCTACCTAATACATGAAAAATAGTAGAACTATTACAACTTTACATTTTCTAGCTATTACCTATTTGTCTTGACCTTTATACCAACATGTTTGTGAGCAATACAGTGGCCATAAAAAAAAAAAAAACGCAACACCTTTAATCATTAAATTTTATGCATATTATTATACTGTAAAATTTATAATATAAATAGTGTATAAGATGATATACGTATGTATACGAAATCAACCATGATGTAGTCCGTGATAGACCGTGATCGAGAATTAATTTGAAAATATTTATTTAAGCAATGATATATTTACACGATCTATTATTTTGATACAGCCCGTGATGAAATATTTATATGTAATAATATAGAGGCTTCGTATCCTCACTCTATAAGACTATCTACACTATATTATCAGCGAAGCTGTGTATTTCATGCATTGCAGACTCATTGTTGTAAAAGGTAAAATCGGTGAAAATTTTATCAAATGTAATTATGCAGTTATATCGAAATAAGACTAGATCAAATTCTGATATAAAAGTGGTCGTACACGTTAATTAGGGATTTAAAATAGCCCACCGAACAGGGAAGAGATCGAGGGTAATAGAATCAGGTAGAGGAGGCGTGGGAATTACGAAGTTGTTTGGCATTCCATGGTAAATGCATCCCAGTTGAATATTAATAACACATTCCCAAGTAGAATATTGGTTGGATTTCCTTGAGTCAATCGTTCCAAATTCATACTAAATAGAAAATATAATAAACTCATTCTGTACTAAAAAAGTATGTAATAATATAACATACGTACCATTACAGGGTTTAATGATCCGATGGCTGTTCAATTATTTATGCAATGATTCTAAACCTATTAAAGAATAAAAATCATTCAAATGTTACTAAGGCAACAGCGCAGAAATTAATGACTGTTGTAATTACTTAATGTCATCTCCGTTGGGACCGTATCATCTGATGTGTAGTTTAGCTTAATAACAATTGCATAGTGAACTCTATTAGAAAGGAGCCAGTAATCCTCTATTTTATTCTTAAGATGTGCCGAGGTTTCAGAACAAGCAACTTCTATTACAAGATTAGGCCAGGGTTTATCTTAAAAGTATATTCGATATGTCGTTACAAAAATTAGAAATTTAACACAATTATATTATCATCAAATGAACAGGGTTAAAAACTCTTCATACCTTTCCATCAGATCCACCTCCAGATACTTGAGGTTTTCCTACAGGTCGAAGAGATCCATCTGGCTCCTTGCCTCCTCCACATGTTTTTGTTGCTTTTATTCAAATACAGTGAGTAATGTAAATATACTTATAATACAATAACATGAAGAATACTAATAAAACACTCACTTGTCGCTCCAGTAAATTTAATGCCTACAGGAGTGGTCGACACGACATCAAATATTACACTCAACTTGGCCATAACTGCACCAATGCATTCCTCGTGAAATGACGAAGGAAGTTCATTAACACGAACAGTTCCATTTTCCTATTCCCATAGAGCGTGCACATTATGCTTATCTGTTCGTTTAATATATTCGTCTATGGTGACATTAGTCTCTAGAACATATGGTAAGCTTGAAAATATCCATTCGTCAAAGCAAGTAGGAAAGAGACTTACGTAGCTTCCCCCACCTGACCTTCGGGTGTATGTTGCCAGTTTCCACCAAAAATAACGACATTTTTTTATTTCACCGGTTTCCTCGATACTAGAAATAGAAATAGAAGAGATGGCGGTAGTCTCCAGGGTCATACCTCTCCTTGGAATAATAAATATATGATGCAGTAGTTCACATTACTTTATTAGTATAGGCGCCATTGCTTTGCAATACTACATGTAAAACTTTGAGGCAGTGACAAGCAGTCACGTTCGAGTATCATCATAGTCACGTAATCCCCAAAAT